ACAAACTGACGCCACGGTTTCGTTCTGAGGAACCTCAAAATTAGCTTCCAAACATATTTTGCGAGAACCGTCTAGGCAGTTTGAAGACTGTTGACCAGACGGAGATAAAAGAGCAGTATGTCATCTCTGTTTTGTTGTAGCAATGATATGAAGATTATGAATAATGCACGTTGGATATTTTTGTTCTCTTTCTTCAGTCCATCCATTTTCTTAACAGCTAAATCAGCTTCGGGTCATGGAGGTCAGCAACCTATTCAAGCTGTGAAAAAGAATTTACCCCGTCCTGATTCCACCTTAAATGTTTTAGACCATCAAACAAATTCTACTATTAGACAAAGACAACCTGGGTAAATACAAAATACAGCTTTAAAATGATGATTTCATTTATTAAGCTATTTACACCTGAGTAGATGTGGACGTTGTCTTTTTTTAAACAGTTATCTGTATTTTCTTCAGTAGTACTTAAACCAAACTACACACAGGTGACAACGTTTTTCAGTGCTCTTTGTCTCGGAGCTCTTCTTGATAATATCTTCTATTGATAACTGTAGCCTGCGATTCATTAAATCAGCTAAGTACCTCGTGTCCTGTGGATGGCGCTATTGTAACCCTAGAGCAGAAATGTTTTGTCACAGGATAAAGGCGATCACTGTTGATCTGCTGTGACCTTTCTCTGTCAGAGGGCAACAGATGCCCCTGAGGATAACAGAGGAACTGGATTCACTCACTGTACGAGTCAAAGGCCAAGGATTTGTTCAGACACAGATTTATTTACACAGCTTTTTCTTCAGGTTAAGTTAAAGGTTGTTTTCTTTTGTTACAATATCTTCATCTACACAGAAATGATCTTTATAACCAAGCAAACCTGGATGTTCTGTACCACAAATACAAATTAATTTGAAAACATAATAAACTTTGAGTGGTCGTGTTACACTGAGTCTGAACTGTTAACTAACCTGATTTCTGTTGTTGCTTGTTTTTCCCTGGCTCAAAATGGGCCTTCGGTTTAAGCATAATCGCTCGTTGTATGGCCGAGGCCGTCTGTGTTACTTAAGATTATTCCTGATTATTTGATGAACAAAAATAATTGATTATTCCATCGTTTAGCCGTGTAATTGGACAAAAGTCTTCTGCCTTATTAATAGAGCATTAATAAATATTCAAATGAGAGGTATTTTAAAATGAACTGCTCTTTGGTTTACAATTTAGAAATGCAATGTTTTAAAAACTGTGTACAATCTCTGTCAAGCAAAAAAAACCTAGCGTGGCTTTTACACGATATATTAAAATTAAATTGAAATAAATGATCTCAAGTACGATAATTTCAAATAAAACAATCTAAACTAAAGCATAAAGTAAAATTACCTATACTCTGTCTTCTTGGAAGGCTTTCTTACATTAATAGGTGGCAAAAATCATCTGCTGGATGACATAGATTTGTGTGTGTGTGTGTGTTTAATGAGTGTGTGTTGGTAGCCTTTTAAAGAGGTGGTGACTGTAATGAAGAAAAGTGGGCATGTCAACATTAGAATTTCTGTGCTTTGATGCAAAAACAGATGTTATAATGGTGTAGATCAGGGGTGTCGAACTCCAGGCCTCGAGGGCCGGTCCTGCAGGGTTTAGATCTCACCCTGGGTCAACACACCTGAATCAGATGATTAGTTCATCACCAGGCCTCTGGAGAACCTCAAGACATGTTGAGGTCATTTATCCATTTAAATCAGCTGTGTTGGATCAAGGACACATCTAAAACCTGCAGGACACCGGCCCTCGAGGCCTGGAGTTCGACAGCTGTGGTGTAGATGTTAATAATTAATGTTAATAATAATTCAGTGGCCCAGGTCAGTAGCCCGTGTACATTTTTATTGGCCTGTAGGGGAAAAAAAGCTTGTATTTTTATATTTTTAAGATTTTAATACAACTTTATTCAGATAATATTTTCTCTTAAAATCTGAAAAATATTGTACAAAAGTAAAATAACAAAAGCCAGACATAAATATGGTCTAGTACACCCATGCCCCCCTTTAGACTCACCCCTGTTTGTTGCAGGTCACTGCCTCAGCCTTCAGCAGGCGGCCCAACTTCACCATCGTCCCAAACTTTCATTACTGATGGAGCAGCTACAACGTTCGCTTCTCTTCATGTCAGTTTGTTGATCAGGTGTTCTTTCCACTGGGTCCTGTGGTTGGGGGTTTGTTGTGTTGATGTGAGTACGGCTGGCAGCGGGACTGTGTAAATAGTGAGCCTCAGTAAAGCGTGCTGCAAAGCACGAAAATGTCTCCGTGTCTGCCGTGGCGTTTCACAGGTGCGTCAGCATCTAAGGAAACAATTCGCATCAAGGATTTCTGATAATATAATCCAGTTATTCCAATAACGCCAGGAGTCGTTGCAGCCTTATTAAAACAAAAGAAATCATTTCTCACTGAAGCCATAGGACAAAGGTCAAAATTTAGAAATTGCATTTTTTTAAACTTCTGATGTTCAATATCAGTTTTTCATTTAAAATAATTTTTAAAATAATTTAATGGCACGAGGCTTTCTGTTTTACATTTTTCATTTTTCAACCTCTCTACGTGTGAAAGCAGCATTTCCCCCAAAACGTCTTCTTTTTATTACTTATCTCCAAATATTAGAACTAAAAGCTTTTTACTGCGTATAGTCTTGGATATGAATTTACATTCAGAGACTCATATTGTGTAAGTGCTGCTGTTGTGCTATCTTGATAGAATTTGTGCTGATTTCAGTATGAAAGCCATGCAGAATAAGTAATGTATATGAATAAAATGTATAAATGCAAACTTAGTATTTTTGAAACACCGCATTAACAGTGTGGCTCTGGTGATGGCGCTTGTTACAAAAAGGCGTCCTGGTGCATGGCTAAGCAGAAAGACTCATCTGGTAATCTCTGGTGACTTGTTCCTGTCATTGCTTTGTCATCATCGTCCAGATGACACTCATGTCAAACGGTCCTATGGGAGCATGCTGCGTGGCTGTATGTGTGTGCACCCTGGAGTGTTTTCATGTGTGTCTGCTGGAGGTTAGAGGGGTTAAGGGGAGCTAATTTCACGCCTCTTTATTTGCACTGGCCTCAGGAGACGAGCTCTATAAGCATTATCACTTCCAGCTGGTTCAAATGGGACAGACGGGACAGGACTGCAGACACGTAGAGACCAGAGCACAGAAGATGCTTTCTAGAGGCTTAGGGTGTCATTTGTTTTTATTGATGTTTTTCATTTAGATTTTATAGACATGTGTATTGTATTCTGTTTGTTCGTAACTGTTTTGTTATATTTTAGCTGCAGTTTGAAGATACATTGTATTAATATGATTCCTGTTATTTTTGCAGGACCTTTGTGTTGACATTGGTTCATTTTTCTTTCAGAAGTAAAACCAAAACAGAAAGCTCTGTAAACAGGAATTAAATGCACTATGTGGCCAGAAATGTTTGTGCATCTGCCTTCACAAGTATACGAACATGAGTGACATCCTGTTATTTATTCCTAAGGTTTTAACTGGCAGCTGTAATAGCTTCAAGCCTTCTGGTTTGGTTGTAAGTTAATGGGAATTTCTGACCATCCTTCCAGAAGCGCATTCGTGCTGCAGCATTGCGTGTTCCTTTCACTGGAACTGAGGGGCAGAGCCCATCTCCTGAGAAACACCACATCTGGCAACCTCCAAACTCTGACTGGTCCATCGCCAGACAGAGAACCATCAATCATCACTTGAGGGAACATGTTTACACTAGAGTCTAGTTGTGGCGTGCTTTACACTGCATTGCCTTGTACAGCTTGGATGCAGCTACTCAGCCATGAAAGCTCAGCTCATGAAGCTGTCTGTGCACCGTTGTAGAGCTAATCTCAAGACCTCATGAAGTTTGCAGCTCTGTAGTGAATGACTCTGCACACTATGCATCCGCTGACCTGCTCTGTGATTTCACGTGGACAGTTGGTATGACATCACGGTACCACACAGTGGTGCCAGTCACAGCTGCTCCTTGTACCATGCAGTTTGAAGTTTCCTAGACGTCTAAATGAGTTACATGACATTAAAAGACACTCAACACTGCTGAAATCCATCCAGTAACAAATCAGACTGTGTGACACAAGGAGCAAAAACAGACGCTGTGACAAGGGTTGAGAGGAAGATGCCCTATATGCACACTAGAGGGCAACGAGGGAGCTCGGGAAAAGGAGGCACAGGTGAAAAGAAACTGGGTAACGAACAATGAAGAAAAAAAACGAGTGATAAATAGCAGAAGTCAAAACCTGGGGGGCAGACAGAGACTTAATGTTCACACCTGACTGAAGTCCTACGGTGGGACCTTAGACAGCTGTGAGTAAACAAATACCCACAAAGCTCAGTGAACTAAAGTAGTAATGTAGTCCATCCCAGGCGCAGCCCTCTGACCCGTATCCTAAATTTGATTTGTTGCATTTTCAGCAAAGAGATCATCAGTAGATTTATTTCTATTGCAGTAGATTCTCTCTGTGGTTGTTTGTGCTTTTTGTAAGTAGAAATTTGTAAAGGATTGATAGAAATAAGTCCTACTCTATGCTGAACACCATTGTCATATAAATTAATGGTTGAACAGCTGAATGTTTTAATATATTTTTGCAAATAGCAGTATTTTATGTAAACACTTCATGTCATGATTCAAATTACCAGTAAAACCAAAATGTACTCGATAGCTTTTTGCTCCTGTTTCAACATAACAATGACAACATGAACAAAAGGAATAGTTTGTCTGCTCTGCTGTGCCACAGTTGTCAACTTGCCATGATCTCCAGTGTGTCAGTGCTCCCAAAGACACGCTTCAAGCTTTTACCTCGTCTCTTTAGCAAGTTTACTGGTACAGTAACATTTTAAAGCACTGGGACGAAGTGCCATGCCACACATCGAACAGTGTTTAGCCTTTCATTGTCCCTGAAAGTCTTCATTTCTGCAACAACCTTGATACATTTTAATCAACTGTCATGATTGTTTTCCGTCACCTCCTGCAGGTGCACAGGCGATCGGCAGAGCGTCTTCGAGACTTGTGCTGTGCCAACCGGGGCACTTTTATCAAAGTGGGCCAGCACCTTGGTGCTCTGGACTACCTGCTGCCCGAGGAGTACACATCTACGCTAAAGGTGCTCCACAGCCGAGCTCCTGAGAGCAGCATGGAGGAGATCCAGCAGGTTATCAGAGAAGACCTTGGCAAGGAAGTAAGAGCAGATAAACTTGATCTACTGTAAGACCAAATGTTGTAGGCATGAACCTTTGTGATTTTTCACATGAGCCTGTCTTAATTGTGTGCGTATGTGTGAGTTTTAACATTACGTTGTGTGCTTCACCTCTCATGATAAGGCATCCTAACAACAGTGATTTCACCCTAATTTCCAATCTAGACATAAATGTAAAAACAGACGTATTAACAGTGGAACATTTGAAAACATCTGAACAACAGCCATCCTCACTTATGTCAAATTTTATTTCATTCAAGTGAGCAGAAAGATGGGTGACAACGGTCCCCGCAGTGAGGCCGACTATACATGACACAGGAGTGAAAGATGATGGCTGATCTACATTTATGGGTGTCTCTCACTCTTAGAGAGAAACTTGGGTACTTTTTTGAAAAAGATTAAAAGTCTGAGACGGAATTTTATATGAAAGACGGATGCAGCCTCAGTGACCTCACCACTGTCTCTATAAAGTGTTTTGTTCTTGCCGTCTTGGTGTTTTGAAGCCACACAGTATCTACCCGAGGCATTTCAGAGAGGAGCTGTGGCAGTTGTTTGGCTTGAAGCAACATTTCCACATTTCAACTTTCCCCCCCTCAAAACAGTATTTCCACTTTTTCTCCACATGGACACACATTTTCCTTTTTCTTAATGGGCCCATATCACATATCTCTGTCGTGTGGATGTGACGAGTAAGGGCTGAATCTGCAAAATAGGCTGACAGCTCGTCAGTTTCTTGATGTTTTATCTGTTTTTTTTTCTTTTTTTTAAAACAAAATGAACATCATGTTTTCTTTAACAAGTCTTTAAACAAGTGAAAGTGTTTAGTGAGGTTTTACGTGACGAGAGCTGAGGGTTGTTTTCTCAGAGACCTGTGGACAACTGCATGTCTTCCACTGGTGATTGGAGAGAATGACACAACATATGTGAAAATTCCAACATTAGGAAACAGAGTCATAGTACAGAATCAGGGAGTCCAGCTGTCAGATAAGAGGACTCTGTCAGCATCGTAGCAGATTTATTCCAGTAAAGAATGACTTTTACCAAACACCTTTATGTTTGCCTTTCATTCGGTCTGTAGTTTAATCATTTTTATTTGGAGTTTCTTTCACTGTAATAGTCGGAGCATCTCTGTGCACGTGTTCTCGTAGCAAGCTGAGAAGTGGGGACGAATAAATCAGTTTAAAACTGCTAAATGACAACCGAGAGGCTGTTAATGCTGCTGTTAGTGTGGAGCACAACATTCAAACTGCTGGTGATGGCAGCCTTTTAGAACTGCAGGAGGAAAGCAATTATTCTGTTATTTTTAGACACAGTGTGTCGCTCTTCCCCTTCTCCTGTGTGTGCATGTGCTACAAGAACGGGTTTGGTAGGTGAACGCGGTGTTCCTACGACTGTTTAGGCAACCACGTTAGGGTTGGATTATGCTGACACAGCATTAATGAATCATTGTTGAGACCTTCATGATAAAATTCACAGTGCAATAATGGTAGATACCAAAATAATGCATATCAGTGATTTACAACCATGGGTAATGCTAGCCATTATTTGAGAACTAGTGTAATATTCATAGTAAACTGCGCAGTCCTTCTCAGTAACCCGCAGAAACAAGGAGAATCGACCTTTTCTCTAATTGCTCTCAGATACATCAGTCTTCTCTTGTTCATGTTTTTAATTAGGTCCACATTCAGTTTGATGTCTTCCAGAGTAGGGCATCATTAACGCTGAAAAGATAGTAATATAATTTGTGTGTCTACAAAGAAGGTAGCAGAATGAATCAGCCCCCCTCGCTTCTGGAGTGGCAGGAGAAGAAGTGACGCTGATGAGCAGCTCTGGAGGCAGCAGCGAAGCTTCGCCATCATTTCCGATCGACTACACATTTATCTTTTTAAATATGTGTGCATTCTAACGTCAGATGGATTTTCTCATGTATAAGTGGTTTGTCACGAGCAGTATGTGGTCTGCTGCTGTTTTCAGCGCCATATGTGGTGAGATGTGCATCGGCGCTGTGCATGCATGTGAGGAACGTTGCCTTGTTTCTGGTTCTCATTTCCCTCTAGAGTAAACCTGCTCAACATGCACAATATGTTCTTTTACTCTGCATGTACTACTACAACTACAACAAACACAACAACTACATCTTGAACAACAACAACCGGAGCTTCCATGGCAGCTGATAATAACTGTAACGACTAAGATTTGCAAAATACCCAAGAACACCATATTCTACAGCAGAGGTCGTGTTATCATCTGGGTTCTGCCAGTAGGTGGCAGACTGCTGCCTACTGGGAATCTGCACTTTCTGTTTTCCCCATGGATAAAGACAAAGAAGTAGGGCTCCAGCTGCCAGCTTTAGCCACCTTTCGGCTTGCCTCGCGATCCATGTTGGCTTAGAACAGCTGATTATAATAGCATGTTTGGATTTAAAGCCACATACTAGCAGCTGCTGTAGTTATATTTACCGTCATCTATTTGTAGTTATTAATTTATACCATATACGATTAACTTAGTGACTAATGTTACTTACAGTAGTATTAAAAACTGAGATTACAGAAAAGTACGTTGGTCTTGATCATTTTTATTTTTTTTAATAAACTGTATATTTGGTATTTGTATGAATAAGCTTTAGTAAGCTGATACTTTATTAATGTGGTATTAAAATGGATATAAAACACACGTATAAATAAAAGTTGAGATTTTTCAAAATAAACTGACTCACGTGAAATAGTATACAGAGTGTTTACAGACGAGAAGCTAAAAAGAGCCGTCGGGTGCTAAAAAATGAACCGTAGAACAGGCCGTGTGGTAAATACTCACAAAGAAAGCTGCAGACTAATGAGAGTCTGTTGATCACAACCGACCAACCAACCCGATGATGTCACGCTCTATACTGGGACAGGATGTTTTAAAACTAACTTTAAGAATCCAGCTTCACACACACTGTTACATCTATGTCGGTTTTTAAGAGCAGGTGAGCCTTTATATGTTTTGCAGCTTTAGTTCCTGCTTATTACACAGAAACTACCACAAATGTAATTATTACCTGAACCACATGCTATGAACTTACACCACTGAGGGAGTAGCTAACTGTAGCTAATGTTACTGGAGGCTAATGTTGCAAAAAAAACAAGGTTGTGTTGAAATAAGATGACATTATTATAATAAATATGGATAAACAACCAGATGTCGTTAATATGACTGTCAGATAACACTGATATAATTAAGCACCCTATGTTCAACAGTTCATTCAGACTGTAGCTATGTGAGTGAATGTTATCATGGTTTATTTCTAATGATAGACATGAAATATTCCAAAAGAAAATTGAAAAAGATGAATTAATTAATTTACTTCATGCAAAGTTATAATGATGTGAAACTGTTGCTCAAACAACTTCAATCATTCTTGGTTTAATTTCAAAAATCTAATTTTCCAGTATGGAAGAACCCTGGGCTGGAGAAGTAGGAGAACATGGATGGGATCTTACTTTTGTGTACTGGACATTTTAAATATCTGTTCCATAACTACTTTCTGTCCAAGCTGAAATATTTTTCCCGCACTGTGTTGTCATCCATATATAAGGTGTGGTGTGAAAGGGGGTCCTCTGCAATCCCATCAAAGTCTGAGGTATTCGTATAAATTATTCCTTTAAAATTTGGAAAAAACGATGTTAAATAGACCTTTATATTCTGTGATCCATGATAAAACAATAATTATTGTTTTCTTATTCTTCCTGTCTTTGAAACATGTGGATTTGGATCAGTGTTTCCAGCTCAGTCCAGACTTCCTGATGCTTGTAATCATTTGTTAGTGTTAGCTCCTGTGTAATAAGCAGGAATTTATCACAGGTATTTTGGGTAACAATCACACTTTAATAACCTATTAAAGAAAACTTAATGTGCTATTGAATAGAAACAGACAGGTTTGTATTTTGCATTTGTTTCCTGATATTAAGCAAAATCTACCAGAGAGATGTAAACATTTACTCAACCAGAGCATTAAACATAATAGTGACATCATTGCTTCTAAGCAAGGCAGACTTCTGGGAACCTAAGGTAGGATTAATTCAAACATTATAATATAGTAATACTACCCAAATGTGCTAAAACAGCAGCCAGTATTACAGTGTTATTATGAGGTTATTACAGTTTATCTCTGTATAAAAATGGTAAAATCCAAACTCGCAGACATTACTTCTTGTAGCTAGCAGGTTATCATGTTGTTACTAAGGTATTATGTTACTGTCATTAATAAGTTTTGCCTCATGGACATGCCTTGACATTTTGACATTTCCACATTATTCCTCTGTTTTTGGGCCCCTATTTTCCAATTACATACAGTTTAGTACTATTACACTCTTTAACTGCTGTTGCTGCATGATAATACTTGTATATTAACTGGTTATTACTTTGATAACTAAGTGGTAATAACTTGTGTTGGCCTTGTTACCTGACTATTATCGCTTTATTACCGAGCTGTAATAGAAAGTGCTGCTATTAAAAAGACATTAAAGCACTACAGTCACTGAGCTCAAACAGGCAAATCTGAATTAAACGGACTTACTCTAAGTCCTGCTTAGAGCTTGATAGAAGCCAGCTGTCTTCCTCACAGATCTTTAGGGCCAGGTGGCTTCTTTACAACTTCTCAGGACTACCATGACCTGGATGACTGAGGACCCACACAGACATCTTGTCACAGTGTAATGAAATGCGTCAACGATACAGAGGCCCATTCTTTCAGTTTCACATGTTTGTGTCCGTCTGCTGCTCAAAGTAAAGCGTTAGCTGCAGTTGTGACCTTGTAGTGATCACAGATGCACTCCAACATCTTAATAACTGAAACAAGGCTTCGTCATTTTTCACCCAGCAAGGAAATAAAAGCCTCACATTTACCAGCCATCGCTACGGCGTACGTTATGCAGTAGTGTCCATAAAGACAAACTCAGTGGTCCAAGCTGTCAAACTGTACGTGTAGCTGCTGCTTTACA